GAGTGGGCTTGTGGCAAATGTGAGATGAACTTGCAGGGGGTATAGGGTGGGAATGCGAGAGAGAAGGGGAGAAAGAGAGAGAGTGAAAGAGGCGGACAGGGAGGAAATAGCCAACATGAATTCATAGAATAAACCTGGGTGTGACCTCAGATGCCCTCTGGAGAACAGGGCAGCTCATCCCCCCTGCCTCACCCCTGCCTCACCCCTGCCTCGAAAGGGGATGAACTTGCAGAACCACGAACCACTGAACAATGTTTTTACTCACTGCTGCCCTTTCTCCTTTCATCCTGCCTCTATTCTTTCTTCCTCCCTGGGGGGAATCCTTGGCCCTTACCAGTCCTCCCTCCCAGTCACCACCCCAAGCTGCTGTACATGGGCCAGGGGCGATCTGATTAGCCAGAATCCCTGATTCGGGGGTGGCTGTTGCCCTAGGAATGAGGAAGGGCAAACAGCGGCGCGTTGCCCTTGAGGAGAAGAGGCAATAAATTCACACAAGCTGATGTTCTGCCCACGTCCCTCGTGCTAAGTAGCAAATGACCAGTGAGGGCAACAAAGGACCCCAGAGATCAGGGAAGAGAGGCTTCCTGTGCGTGGGCCTGCCTGTTCAGGGAAAGCTTCGTGGATGGGGTTGAACTGGAGTTCAACCGAAAAAAAAAAATATGACTCACTTTGGAAGAGATCACTGGGTAGGCGAGAAGTGTCGGCCACTGTGCTGAGCCAGGAACGTTTGTAGCGTGTTCAGGGCCAACAAGCTGGCCTGAGGCAGAGGAACCCAAGAGGGAAGTGTTGGGAGCTGGAGCCAGAGAGCCTGACGCCAGCTTGAGTTTAGATTTAGAGCCTCCAGGCACGGGGGTTCGTGAGGGCCTTTGAACAGGCTGGAGAAGTGTGCAGAGCAGGGCCGGGGGGTGGACCTGACAGCACCTGCCCCTGGAGGACACATATCCTGGATGAGTACTGAGGTTCACCCTTCCCACCTGAATCCAGGCTGGAAGAAGAACGGGGCTTCACAATCACGTCTTCAGGCATTGGTCCATTTCCTACTTTTTAACGAGCAGAGACGGATGGCGAGAGTGGGTGGTGTATTCTCCACCATAATGGAAATTTCAGTCACACACACTTAAAGGCAAACTTGCATGAATCAATAGCATATTGATTTACACTACATTTATTTTCCGTTACACACTGCAGAAAATATAATCACTTAATTATAAAATTGCCATTTTACAATAGCACATCTGACTGGCTCAGCCTGCAGCCAGAAGCCTGAGTGGTCCCTGCCGCTCTGCTGGCACAGAGGTGGCCCAGGCAGGCCCTTGATGCAAGTCAGTCCCAGAGAAAGAGCTCATTACACTTTTGTGCCTCTGGGACCCGTGGCCTAGGCGCACGCCCCTGCTTTAAGGGGTGAGCTGGGGCGGGACAGCTGCGGCCTTCTGCCCGTGAGGGTCTCCTCCTTCACCACAGACCCTAGAACTAGCTTCTGGAACACATTATCCCAGTGAAGTTGACAGCTTTAGTTATTAATTAAGCAAGCAAAATATTATGGGCATGCCCACTACATGCATTGGGTGAAGGCCCTTTGTCGATGATGTAAAGGTGAGCAAGGTCACTGATCTCACGGAACTTGGAGTCCAGTGGGGGAACGGCAAGAAACAAGCAAGCGATAAACAAGCACTAGTGACACTGGGTACTAAGTGCTGGGACAGGAATGGTATGGTGAGCCGTGGGGGCTCACAGGAGGGGCACCGTGGTGGGGACGAGCACGATTTCCCAGCAGAAGTGCCTTTTAGGAGGAAAGGTGAGTGTAGGTTATTGGGTTACAGGACTGAAAGGAGGAGGTTCCAGGCAGAGGGAGCATCATGGTGAAGGCCAGGGTGGAGGGGGCTCCGCACGGGACAGACAGGTATTCCTGAGCAAATGAAGATACTCTTTACTACTGGGGTGTCGGACTCAATGCTGTGGGGAACAGGGAGCTGCTCAGGGAAAGCTGGAGAGGTAGGCAGAGACCAAGATGTGTTTCAGAAGTTTGAACTTCATCCTGAGAGAGAAAGGGAAGTGCTGATGTTTTTGTTTTGAGCAGGGAAATGCCGTAATCAGATTTCTGTTTTAGAAAGATTGGTTTGATAGGAGGTGTGGAGAATGGATAGCAAAGGAGGGCAGGACTGAGTTCAGGTGAGAAGTTCAACAGGGAGATGAAGGTTCTTGAACTTGGAAACAAGCAGTAAGGATGGAAATCCGTGGATGGCTTTGACAGGGGGTTAGAAGGTAGAATCAGTAAATCATTAATATTTGGTGATGGCTTCAATGTAGGGGGAGCAAGAGGGTGACCCTTCATGTGCTTGGGCAATAGGAGGAGGCAGAGGATGAGTACAGTTTGGGATAGGTTGACTACAAGGTCACAGTGGGGCTCTGGTGGAGACAAGGAATGGACCATAGCATGTGTCCATCTAAAGCTCAGGAAAGAGGATCGGGCTGGGGGCAGCTTGGAAGCCATGGACGTAGAGAATCACTAGGTAGAATGCCACTCTCCACCTGCACCCGGAAACTATTGGAAGCCTGTGCAAAGGACCCCGTGGGGCCACATGCGATTGAGACGATCTGTCCTAGGAGATCTTATCCTGTGGTCTGTCTCTCCACACCCAGGTCTCCGGAGTGGCAGGAAATCCACCACCAACAGAAAAGCCAGCTGTATGAGCATAAGGACGATGGCGAGTTTTGGTACTTACTCTTCTTTTAAAATTATATTTCAAATCTTTAACTGTTGCCCAAAGTCTCAATCCCCACCCTCTTTCCAAAACTTTTTTGAGAAAATTCACTTTGCAGGGGCCTCTGTAGAAGGAGTCTGTTTTCTCCGCCAAGACACTAAAGCTTTGAACATGAAATTGTGTTTGGGTTCTCTCTTTTCATGAAAGGTATTTCAGCTCTGAAATACTAGAGCTTGCAGGAAATGTTAATGGTAGAAGGGAATATTGGCACCAAAGCTTTGAAAATTACCGTTTCCTGGAAACCAGGATGCATGATTATCATGCCTGTATCTTCCATGCCATCTTGTTGGGACCCCGGCAAAAAAAATCCCCCAGTCATCCCACAGTCCGTTCATCCCACAGTCTCTCCTGGCATGAATTACAAGAGAGCAACTTGGAGTTAATCTCCCAGCCCTGACTCTGGAGTTCTGGGTGAGGTATCGATGTCATCGCCCAGCAGCTATGCAGGACTAGATGTTGAAAAACACATTCTCAGCCCTGTGCTCAGATCTCAAAGGATAAGATGAACATTTCTCTGAGGGGTTGTCTGGCTTGTTCAGTGACATATTTGAATGAAATCTGGCATGTGCGAAAAGGAGACTGGGTTTAAGTCATTAAGAATCAGAGGGATAAATGTAAATTAGAAGAAAAAACATTTCTAGAATCTCAACTTTCACCACAGTACCAGCTGGGATGTTAGGTGTTGAATCCATTGTGTTCTGATAAGACCTCAATAATTCTTTGGCAAAGGACCCTAGGGAAAAGTGACTTTCTTAGCAGTGTGTAGGACCCGTAGCAGAAAGAGATTGGCAGTCCTCTTGCTGGCCATGAGAGGGACCTGCAGAACCCAGAATCTGACGCTGTCCTTGTCCTTCCAACCACAAATGAACCAGAATGGGGCTCTGGTCTTGGGGAGGACCGTGGTAAATTAATGGTTACTATAGTTGACAGGCAAAGGTGTTGTGAAGTGATGGGAACCTCCACCCCAGCAACAAAACCAGTGGTCAGTAAGCGATCGTCTCTGTTTATAACAGGATGTCATGTCGAGATTTCCAAGAAAACTTCTCCTGCCTATTTATATGTAACCAAGTTCCAATCAGCCTGGACCATGGAAACATGCCCCATGAAAGATGGTCCCAAATGATGTTTAAGAACCACGTGATTCCAGGAAACACTGCAGGTAGTTATCCCTTTGGTAACAATTCTGCCAGGATGGAAGCTGCCAGGCCTTGCCCAATTCTGGCTTCACCTCTCGATGGCCCTCAATTCTGAACCATCAACCTGAAGTTGAAAGAAGAGGAATTTGGCAGCCCAGAGGGACAGCTATCCTTCCCTGGAGGACATGATTGCTGGTGGGGTGGGCAGGAGAATCTCCAGTGTGCCTCCCCTGCCCTTTCATGCTTTCTCACTGTCCTTCTGCTAAATTACCTCCACCCCCCAGGAGTGGAACAGGCTCACCACTCTTCAGTAATTATTCAGGACATTGCAGGGAGCTGTGGAAAGAGCACTGGACAAAAGTCAGGACCTGTGTTAAACCATTGTCTTTGCCATGTATTGGCTTTGTGACTCTGGGGATAAAGCTGGTCCCTCTGTCTCAGTCTCCCCTGTAACCCCTATCTGCCCCCTGAAACCACAAAGCACCATCCAGACTTAAAGGGGCATATTCCTGCCCAGTGTGGGTGGTGCATCCTACAGCACCGTACTGAGATCCCAGCAGTAGATGCCCCAAAATCTGTCTTTGGGCTCCCCGGAGATGAATCTTTAAAAAGAGTTACATATTCTCTCTGGACCTCCCACTCCCCATGTGTGAGTGGATGAGTGAAATAGCGCCCTCTGAAGATGAACCTGTGTATGTTACACATTCTTGGTAGGAAAAGCTATGCAAATAAGGTGTGTGTGTGTGTGTGTGTGTGTGTGTTACTCTGTGTGTGTTTGTTTGCACCTCGACATGTGCATTTCCTCTCCTTGGCACCTGCCTTTCGAGAATGGTTTGCTTGAAGACCTCATACCCCAGGGTGTCCCTGTTTTCAACCTCCAGGCTCTTCACTCTGCTGGGCAGAGAACCTAGACCAGGAGGCCACGGGCAGACAAAGAAACCGCCAAGTCACTCTTGGGCAGCAAATTCGCTGATTCACCTTCCCTGAGCTGCACCTGTCTGACTGTGGGGCCAGAGCCCTTTTCCCTAGATATAATGCATGTCAATGAACTAACCAGTTCTGCATCGGCACCATTTTTAGTACTTCCTTACAGGAGAGAGGGAAGGGAGCCAGCCAGCAGGCACCTGCTAGGTGCTGCTGAGTGCACTTGAGAGCATCATCTTGCTTCATCCTCACAAAAAACTGATGTCCGTGATGGTCCTCTACGTTTCCCCATCCCCCATTCAGAGCTTCCCAGCTGTGATCCAAACTTTCTGATGTCTACTAATTCATCTCTATTTTGACTTACCTTCATTTATTTTTTATACATTATCTTTCATGCACTTGAATCTAATGGTTTTCCATTAATTCTGTCTTGCTCTGGCTTTGGTGAGGACTCTTGGGCAGTAGAGTTCTATGAATTGCCATCTCTCTGCCTCTTTTCCTCTGTCTCCGTTGGTGCTTGGGGATTGACATCATTTCATGGCTCCGTGGTTGTTGTCAACACATAAGCTCTTGCATACCTGAGGACTCTGGAATTCTACTTGTTATTATAAAATATAAAAATAGCCCTCAACTTTACAGTTTAAGAAACATTTTCATGAAGTAGGAACTATACTTCCCCTCCTTGTTTCTAAGAAGAGGAGACTGAGGCTCACAAAATAAAGATGTTTGTGCTGCAATAGTGGGGACCAGGACCCAGGCTTTAGGTGTCCAAATCCAGACTTTCAGCCACCACCCATTGAACTGGGCATGCATGGCTCTCTGAAGCGGTGCTGGTCCCAACCTGGAATCCCAGGAGCCAGGCTGGGGTCCACTTACTGCTCTTTTTCATACAGAATTCCAGAGGGATGTGCAGTACCTCTTCTCTGTGCCAGACAGCATGGAAAGCAGCAATGTCGTCATGTCCTTCAACATCATGCCACAAAATTTAAAGGCAAAAGACAGAATGTTTCCACTAAACTTCGAGGTGTTCAAGGTAAGGCAGCTTGCTTCAGGGCTTGCCCTTTGGGGATATTCTGTACAACTTGGGTGGAGAGAGCAGCCAGCTATGCTGGGAGATTTCACTCAATCGCAGACTCAGATAAAACCCAAAGGGCTATAGAGTTCATCTGGTCTGAAGGAAAACCTGAGACAGAGAGGCGATTAGCCTTGACCAGTTTTACAGCGGGACATACCTCCTGCCTTTGTCACTTGCCAGCATGTCCTGGCACGCCGCAGGCTCCAGTGCTCGTTACTCAAAAAGTAGTCTGGTCAGGACCAGCTGTTGCAACAGTGCAGACTCCTGGGACCGCCCCAAGTTTTCTGAGTCCCACTCTCCATGGATAGAGCCTGAAAATCTGCATCATAATGAGCTCCAGGGTGGAGGAGGGGCTGCTATGCACAGGACTATTTGAGAATCATTGGTTAAACTCTAGGAGGAGTTTAAGGGGAAAAAACAACCCTGGATATACAGCCAGGAGGTATGTTTTTCTCTTATGCTTAGACCAAAGTCTGGTCAAAGCTCCGTGGGTGGCTTACACGCATCTGCTTAGCCACTCATCCAAGGGGAGGTCTTCCTCTCCACCTAGCCTCCCCTCCACTCTGATGGCACTCCCAGCCAGATCTTCAGCTCCTAAGGGGCCATCTCCTCACCCCCTCCACATGCCTACACATACCCCAGCCATGAGTAAGTGATCAGGGAATTTGGCTTTTAAAAACCATGTGAAAGAAAGGAGCTGCAAAAGAAAATCTGAGACTTCTGCTCCCTCCTCCTTTCCCAAACAACTTAATGCATCCCAAAGATAAAGTGAAGTGTTCTCAAATCATACACCCCACAGCCTCTCTGCACGGAGATGCGTAATTAAGATCATGCAACCATCAAGTGCTGGGGTCCCTGTTCCTCAAATTAGAGGTGAAGTCTCCGAGGCCCAGCAAGGTGAAGTGACATAGTCGGAGCTGGGACTGGGCACCAGAAGTCCCCCAAGCCTTCAGTCAAACACACCTATCCCCTGTGTGGCTAAGACTCTGATTATTGCATCTCTAGGAATGATCTCAGGAATGTTCACTGAGACTAAGGCAACATTCACAACTGGGGCCTTAGCCCACTCAGGGACAGGCAAGGCTCCTGGTCCTCTGTTCCTGAAACAGTCCCGTGCACTGGCTGTGATGCACTCTAACAAGAAGGCCTCACTGATAGAGAACTTCAGAGTTCCATACATGTTCAGATTCATTGTCTCGAACACCCTAGTACCCCAACTTTTATAGATGTGGAAACCAAAGGCCAGAGAGCAAGAATGACCTACCAAGGAGCAGCTAGGTTATGACGGTGGGGTGCTTGATGCTGGAACTTGTGGTCCCAGGACCAGGGTTCTCAGCAGGACTTAGGCACTTGCCTTTCTGGTGATGCTCACAGCTCAAAGACAAACGATGATTCTGGCCTAGAAGGAGGAGAACTCTTTGGGTTCTGCTCTCTCTGAACACATTTCCGCTTTCTAGTTGCATAGAATCAATGGAAAAGAAATTGTTGGGGTTTAGCACCATACTTTTGAGATGCCTCAATCCTGCTGAGACTGTCAGAGAACATCTGCTAAGGATGCAGTAGTGGACAGTGGTCATTTTCATCACCACCAGGCAACTGAGCACCCTTTCCACATGGTGGTGGAGGGAAGTGGGGGGACCTTGGTGGAAGGCAGGGCTTGGTCTCCCACTGCAAAGAGACCAGATATTTCCTCTTCCCAGCCCTTACATGCAGAGGGGTAGATGTGTGACCCAGGCCTGTCCAATTAGATATTCTCTTCCCCTCCCCACCATACTCTTGGTTATTCTGGGCTTTGAATCTTGAGGAAGTAACTGAAGGAGGTAGGACCAATTGAGAGGTTCTTTGCAGCCAGTCTTCGGGCCCAGCAGCAGCAATGCAGGCAGATCCTGTGGTGGTGGATCTCTTCTCGATCCTGCCCACCTTCCAAGCTGCAGTCTCTAGACTTCCCACTGACTCTGTGATTTACCCTTCCCATAAATGGCTTTCTGCTCACCCCACCCTGGATTGGTTTCCCTTGCTTTCTGCCAAGAATCCCAGCTAGCTCAGGTGCCTTCTAAGAGGACTCTCATCCTCGGAGTCCCCTGACTGTCACCTTTGAGAAGGACAAAAGGAAAGGAGTTGGGAAGGGCTGGGAAGGAACTGAGGCATCTGGTCTACCCAATGAGCCTGAACAGTGCAGGACACCAGACAGGACTGCTAAAAACATCTCAGCCACCTCTTCCCTGTCCTGATGAGAGACAGAACTCCAGCGAGGGTATGAGGGCTGCCCCAGGGCAGAAAAACTGGGAGAGCTGTTTGAATTGTCATCTGTGATTCTAGTGCCCAGAGCTGGCGCCATAGCAGCCTCGTGCTAACTGACTTATCCCAAGTCTTACAGTTCAGGGGCCCTGGCAAGACTGTAATCATATCTATTTTTTAAATGTTGCCTAGCCCATTTGTCAACTTTTCAGCCAGAGATGCCTTTTTTATCAGCTGCCCACTTTGCTGAGGGAGCATGCAGACCCATGATCCCCTCAGGCTCCCTGAAAATCCCCTTGGATCTTGCAGGATCCTGATTGAGTTAAACACCAAAGAACAGTCCAGACCTTGACAACTGAAGAAGCACATGGGTTCCTTTCACAGTTCTGCTGGGAAGCAGGCTATGTTGGTGCCAGCAACTAGGCTCTTTGAAGTCTCTAGGATTTTGATGGGGTTTGTGGGTACAGTGCTGCCCAGATGACAGCTATGTGCAGGGCTTCACCCTTGGCATCAGCCTGTGACTCTCCAACTGCTATGGGAGCACTGCTCTGCGTTGCATCCAACTAAACACGGATGGTATACAAATAGACAGGGAGAAGGCAGGACAGAGAAAAAGGGGAAGGGTGGACAAGCTATTTCATCCTCACCCCAAAGCTCCTCCCCAGGCTGGGTCTTTCCACCTCCCTCCAGCTCCCCCCTGATCTCCAGAGAAGCCTGCCTTGGCAAATCAGGTTGTCTGTACACAGAGTGTGGCCCAGGATCAATGATAGAATAGAACTGAAACCCCCACTAACTGTGGAAGACGGTACCTGGAGGCGGTGGGTCTCAGTTACCAAGAAAGCAACGCAGTTTGCCCTGTTCTCCCCTCTGCCACTCAGACTGCTGAGCTCAGTGTCCACACCTGTAAAATAAGGAGCTCAGCATCCGCTCAGGATCGCTGGACAGCCCAGCACTCTACATGGGAAACACTTTGCAAACCATGAAGTGACTTTAAAATGGGACTGCATCTTCAGCGTTTCCTTCCTTCCTTCACGTGGACAGACAGGAAGATGGGTATTTCCCCATTCGGACGCCCACAAGCATTCCCTGCCAACACAGGGGGGCCTAGAACAAATTCCCATCGTGTGTTACAGAGATCTGAGGGAATGAAAGTTTCCTTCTCATTGGAGCGCCGATGTTGGGGAATTTACATTCGATCCAGGTCTGCCTTACCTCCAGTCCCCATCAGCGTGTCCCTTTTCCTTCCAGTTTTCTCACCATTGCTATGAAGAGTAACCACAGCTGGCTGAGCTGGCAAAGGAAGAGTCTCCCCAGCCACCTTCTTCCCGCCTCGACCTCCTTACAGCGGGTGGGGTTTCCTTGTCACAGCTCCATGCAGGGAATGAGTGATGATCCCCATTAACCCAGGGTGTTCCAGGGAACGGGCTGAACGTGCAAGGAAAAGGAATGCAGGGCCCTGAGCCAGGCTGCTCAGACCTGCTCGCTTGTGTGTTTTGGTTTGGGTTCCTGACCCTGCCTTTCTTCCTCTTCCCCACAGGTGGACTCCCAGGTATGGCCACCGCCACCCTCCCTGGCTTCTTACGCCTCTGCCCCGTCTGTCGGTGGCGTTCACGCCTCTTCCAACACCCATGGCCTGGACGTGTCTCCCGGTGTTCACCGGCTGCCAATTCAGTCTTGCTAAGTCCTGTAATAGATACGCACCTAGAACCTCCCAACAGGCCAGTGATGCGGGAAATATTTTAGCTGTCCTGGTCTAAAGGTTGCATTCCTCAGGCTGTTCTCTGGTTTGATGTTCTAGAGGGGCTGCCACCATGAAACCATCCTCAAGCATTTGGCCCCGAATGATAAGACTGATGCTGACAGTTCCTTGTAAGATGAAAGGCAGGGCTCATCGGGTACCTTGGCGGGGATCTTTAGTTTCCCATAGTTTCCATCAGCCCCCAAATGCACCATGACCGGGATGCATGTGATGCAAATGCAACTTCAAGGCACACCCTCCAGCTCCTCTTACAACCACATCGCCACCCCTCCTGAATAAACATTCTGGCCTTGCACTGGTGAAAGGGGACCTAAAATATGAGTCAGAATGGAGAAGGAAAGATGGAGTTTGGGAAGCCTAACTTCACAGGCACTCAAACTCCTTAAATGGACGCGAGCTTTGTGGTGCTGTTGTTGCCACGGGGAGGTGCGTGTGCCTGGGGGCTGAGGATGGAAGGGAGGGAGTAGGATGTAGCCACAGCCAATGGGCAGTGACCACAACCTGCTGGCAGGTGCAGAGCAGCTCCTCCAAGCCTTCCAGAGGTGCCCTGACAGGGAGAGAAGCTAGGACAGGGCTCTCCAACAGGGGATACTCAGAAGCCCAGGCAGAAAGCAGGTGGTAAGGCGGCCTGCCTTTCACAGTGGTGGCCCAGCATCAAAGCTGGGTTTCGGATCAGCACCCTAGTTGTGGAATGTGAGCTTCTAGAAGGGCTTCAAAGGTGCAAGGAACAAGTCAGGGCTCTAGTTCCCAGAGCTGGAGAATGGGGTAAGGACTTGATCCCGAAAAAGGCACAAGCCCCATCCCTGGGGACACAGGATCAGGTCTTGTGATTGTAGGAGGCTTGAAGCCCACACACTTCTGTACACACTGCCTCCCCATGTGCACATGCGTGCACACACACACACCCCCAGAGCCGCAGAGCAGTGCTGACTCTCTGGAAAAGAACCCACCTCATCACTGCTTTGGCCAGAAAGGCCCTAGCAAGTGAGGTTCCAAACCCCCTGGGGCAGCTGTTAATGTCAGCAGAATCACTTCTGAGGTTCTGCCCACCCCCCTGCTACATACCAGAGACAGTGGCCTCATCTTGCAGCCCAGCGCTGTGCCTGCCCCTCAAAAAGAACCCCTCCCCATCTCCCCATTTCCCCCCAAGGTAGAACTCATGAGCAATCATTTCATGCTGCATAACCATTCGAAATGGGATCCCCATCTCGACTGTATTGGAGAAAATTTATTTAGTAAGGGGTTTTTATTATGTAATATGTATATGACATCCGGTAATAGGAAGTGCATTATATTTATTGTTTATCGCTAAGAAAATATTGAAACAGAAGGAAAATGATCAGGACCTATTACTCTCCAATGAGAAGGCATTTTAGGGCTCTGCTGGAAAGAGGAAATGGAAGAGGAGAAAGGACTCCAACCCCATAGATCTGCAGTGGTCCTAAAGGTGCTTTGCCAAAGGTTCAGGAGACAAGGGATTTTAGGGGCTCCAAAAGTAATGCATTTCTGAAACAGCCTCACTCATTTTCATGGAAGCCATCTTTCTGTATAAGCAGAGAGATAAACCCAGAAGCCCAGGATGCTGTAAGAGTTAATGAGGGGAGACCACGTGTCATATTTCTCCGCGTTCATTGTAGTGTTAGCATCTCTAGTCATTAAGAGTCTGAACTCTGTTGCACTGTGAGACTTCAGGTAAGCGCTGTCTCCCTTTCTGGGGCCTGTATTGCTGTTTTGGTGAATGGAGAGGGTGCTGGGCGAGGTGGTTTTGCCTGGGGCCTGGGGCCCGTGCACACAGGGGTTTTCTCACCACTATCCTGTCTCCTCTAGTTCCAGCATTTCCGAGAGAGGTTGCCGCCCACCTTTTTTTCCAAATTCAGAATGGCTGAGAAGGGCATAGTTTCTCAAACCCCACGTAACCTTACAGAGTGCTTCAGCCTGAGCCCTGGGACCTACGTGGTGGTCGTCTCTGCAGGCAGAGAAGCAGTTGAGTTCTCGCTCCGAATTTTCCTGAAGATGTCCGACAGTGACAGGTACAGAAGTACTGGGATTCTAAATGTTTTATTCTACTTCATTTTATAAAAACACATTGCATCATTCTATGTGGCAATTCATTGTGACAGTGGGGGACCCAGCACAGGCCCAGCTCTCGAGAAGCTCACCCCAAAGGGGGCCGAGAGAGTCTGTGAGGCAAGAGGTAGACCACAAACAAGATGGTGCCATTGCTCAGTGGAAATGCAGGGTCACGTGGGAGGACAGAGTTGAGGGATCTGCCCCTGACAAGAGCAACTGAGGAAGGCTAAATGGGGGAAATGGCGCATGAGCCAGTCCTTGATGGAAAATGTAACTTAATGCTTCAAAGGGGAAGGCAGTGCAGGCAGAGGAAAAAAGCATGAGCAGAAGCAGGGAAGTGAGTGAACACAGGGCTTGCTGAAGAGTAAGTGATGTTGCCCATAAACCAGGAAGGTGGTACCTGGCACGCATGACAATTGTCTGAAATGTGGCCAGAACATGGGCTCCATCAGGGAGACAGTGGAAGATGGGCTTGAATGCAAGAGTCTGATGGTGGAGGGTCTCCACTGCTAAGTTGGCAGTCAGGACTGGGATCAGCAGGCATACATCCTGCTGGGCGCCTGGTTCCTTCATGGACCCAAGGCAAACATCACTATAATCATGTAGGTCTTTACAGCTGAGCACAGACGAGGCCTTCTCAGTCCAGCATGCCAGTCACTGTGCTACCAGAGTTGGAACATAAGACAAAGCTTATTTACCATCCTGGCAATGGGGGTTACTACACATGTAACCTGGTTGTGAAAGGAGCCATTTACTAAATGGTTTGAAGACCAGGTAATGTCCACCCCAAAGACTGGATGCCAGGTCATGATGCTCATTGGTCTGCTGCCTGCCATGGCCACCCACTTCACATCCTCCTGTGCTCTGGGCTCTCCACTCGTGTTCTTGGCCTAAATGTCAAATGCCACTGGGGGTGCCCGCCATAGGTAAGCATAAGCCTCCTTGGAATAGTGAGCTGGTCATCCTTGTCACACTGTCCCCCTCATTTTCCAGGGACCTGGGCAACAATCTCAACCTCAGACCACTGAAGGTAGGTGTGCAGTAAGCTTTGTTCGAGCTTCAGTAGTCACATCCCATCCCCAAGAGCTTCTGTCTCCTTCCTTCTTGCCTCACCACTGACCAATGAAAACAGAGACACTATAATGGGCGGGTGATGGCTCAAAAGGACACGGATGAGGGGAGAAGACCAGGCCTCGAAGGCCAGGCTGGACCCATCCATCTTCCATCTACAAACTCCATCCTCGCATTCCCCAAACAGGTTTTATCCGATTGTTGGCCATGAAGCCTCTGTCTCAGATCCAGGTGGGAGGTTCTTATGCCCTCACTGTACCAGAAATCTAACGTTGTCTATTCTCCTTTAGATCCAGGCAACTCTTCCAGAAGATAGCTCCCAACAAAGCATTTTCTACAAATACTCTCAGCAGGTACAGTATTAAGCCTGGGGCGAGGGGCCTTAGAGAGGACGGGTGATGGAGGGAACAGAAGGAAGAAAATCCTTCTGGGCCCTTATCAGGATACAGAGAGGAAAAGTGGCCTGATGGGTGGTTTTATCAGCCTCTGTCCCTGGATGTCTCCAGAACTGATCTGGAGGGAAAGGGTGCCCCACCTGGGTGACACCTGGGTTGGAGTGAAGAGCTTGGAATGGGAGGGGCTAATTATGGGGCTGGTCTTTTTAAATCTATAAACAAGCAATTGGCAGTACCCCTCAAAGTCTTTCCTTCTCCCGCTTTGCCACCTCCCACCAACCTTGGCATCCTTCCTCCCGGGAGCTGGCAAGCTTCAGAAAGCACCAACAGCGTTCTTCCTGCCAAGCCACCTATGTGCACAGGGGATTTTCTTAATGGTTTAATAAACCGTTATGAAGAACTCCTTGACTTGTCAGGATAAAAACAGCTGCCAAGGACTCTGTGCAATTGGCCTTTGACCATCATGTTGGTGTGGGAAGTGGAAAGTGATATGGATGATCGTATGTACCGTGCCGGCCTCAGGCCAGGTGGGGGCCAAAGACAGGAAGAGTGCAGGCCTTCAGAGGGCTAATGGGGTAGTGGTCACCAGGAGGCAGGTCAAAGGGAAATGATTCAGGCAGCCTGGGCCCAGAGACAAAAACAAGGAGCAGTGAAGAATGTGGCTGGCGGGAGGATAAATGTTGTAGGCGGCAGCTCAGTGTGAACCTCCTCGAAATCAACACGGGCCCAGGGTTCAGGCCCACGTCTGGGCTGACTGAAAAGGCACTTCACTTGATGCAAAACAGAATCTGCCAAGGTGACTGAACGCAGTCTGTGAGCTCCTGAAGGTCAAGATGACGTTGTCCCCAGTACCAATCACTGCTTGGCATAGAGAAGGTACTCAATCAATTTGCAATGAATTAAGATGCCCAAGCTAAGATTACTGCCCCGAGGGGATCAGCAGGACCAGATTAGGGTCCCTGAGACCAAGCTTTCTTCAGGGGCGGGTGGCAAAATCTTTAACATGGTCCTTGCACCTGTACATCTGAAATAAAAAACATAATTTGTCATATGATAAACGGTACAGATTCCCTAATCAGGACTTTTCCCAAACAACAACCAAATGTCATAGAGGAAAATTGATAGCCCCTATGCGGCCTTTGCAGGAATTAGAATAAGACAGATGCAGCTTTGTGCCAAGGTGCACAGCTGGGCAGGGGAACAAAGACTGGACTCCAGCTTCCTTTCACCCCTCGGTGGGCACCTTGAACAGGGCCAACCTGGCATCATTCTGCACAACCTGTGAACTGTCCTCAGAGTTTGTTGTCCTCCAAAGAAAGTTGAAAGCAAAGTACTTGTCCATGCACTGACTCTGTCCTCTCCCCCGATTTCTTGTATCCATTTAACTGGTCCTGGAACAAACGCAATGACCTGCTAGTTCTGTTGCCCTAGCACAGGTTACTTTCATTGGCTGTAACAGTAATGATGACACTATAATTCAGGGTCTGTCTGTGGGAAAGGAAGGACACACTCGGCCTCTGGGACAGGCCACATCCATCGTCCATTACTTACCCAGTCAGCAAATGTGTAGCAAATATGCTAGGACATTCGAAGACTCTGCTCACCTTCGGGACTGCAGAGCATCAGTCCTTGGGGATCTTCCATTGAAGTGGTAGAGGCCAACGTGCAGTTCCCTGGGAGTTTGTTCAGGCAGCCTTCATCTCCATTCCTAGCCCCATCTCTTCCAACATCCTGGTGGTTACTGGGTGCAGGATCCAGGTCAGGGCCTGTCCTAGGAGGGGGGACAAAGTCCATCCCCCAAAGCTGCTTATGTTCTGGTTGTGATTCCACATAAGTTGGCATTTCTCACCAACATGTTAACTGCTCTTCAAAGTGGGGTGCCATAATTCTTGGGGGAAAAATCTTAGTTGATGGCAAGCACACAACACTGACTCCCTGACATAACCAACCAGTGAGATGTTAGAGGGATGACCTAAGGGCTGATTTCAGACACTTCCAGGATGTTTTCCGCCAGGGACATCGTCGGTGGTCATTTTTCCAGCTAAATGACTCCCATAAGGACAAGCTGTAGGGCTGCTTTTGCTTTCCATTCTGCGTGGTGAGGCCAACCCTGGGGACTACTTGTCTGTCATCTGTGGGGTGCTGATTCTCAGAAGACCCCAAGGAACCACCTCCTTCCACCTGACCTGGTGTCACTCTGCAAAGCCCCCTGCTGGGAGACCTTGCTCCAGCTCCTCCCATGGAAAAGCTTTCCCAGGATGATGATGTCCCATCACACCCTCTGCCTTTACCAGGCGGTTGTAAGAAATGACTGCACGTAGAACAGCTCTGCTTCTGATGCCCATCGAGCTGCTCGGTGTTCCCCACAGAAGAGTTGACGCCTGCGGAAGTTCAGGCCAGGAGAAGGTTCTCTCCCCTCAACCTCAGTTGTTCCTGTTCTTTATCCAAGGAAAACCATGATGTCTCCCTTTCTGCTTCAGTGGCTGGGAAGACTCATGCTAAGTAACATGCTCAGTTAGAGCAGCTTCTCTCAGCCTGGATTCCTGGCATTTTTATCCACCCCCCCCCACACACACGCTTAGTAGTCATGTTTTCTCTCAGTCCCTTTCTGGAAGCAGATGGGAAAACACACCTGCAGGGCTGAATTGATTCATTCAATAATATTTCTCCGGAGGGGCTCCTAAGTGTCAGGTATGGTGGGGAGGAAGCAAACACTGCTTTCAGCCAATAATGAATGAAGAGGGACATGCAAGGTGACCCACACTGGGTATCAGATGTCAGGAGTAAGCACTACAGATGTTTGGAGGGACTTATCACCGTGGCCTGGGGCAATCAGGAGACTCTGGGACAAAGGTGAGCTAAGTGCTTAGAAATCCCAGTGCTTTTAGTGTGCCCTTCAGCTCCCCAGCCCTGATGTGATTCCTGCATCCCTTCCTTGCTTGGATCAGGGACCGGACATTGATGCTACCCAGCTGCAGAGCCTTCTCAACCAGGAATTCCTGAAAGGTAAGGACCCGCTGGCCCCAACCCCATCCTTGCAGCCATGCCAGTCCAGTGCCCCGCTCCGTGACATTTTAGTCCTTCCTTTTCTCCCCTCTTCAGGACCTCCAGGGGACACATTCTCTCTGGACCAGTGCCAGAGCATCGTGGCTCTGATGGATGTATCCTTTGCCATCATCCCCTGCCCCTCCCCTGGCTCTAAGATCCCATCTCTCTGTTGGCTTCCCCAGGGGGTTAATTATGACATTAGGGAACCCTTTTCTCACTCTCAGTATTTTCTCTTCTTCCTTGGTTCTAAGGGCTCACCAAAGAGCCTGGGTTTCTGGGGATTCTGTACCAACTCATTAACTCTCCAGAACCACCACAGCCACAGTAACAATATACCATCTATCAAGCATCTACTGCGTGCCAACAGTGGTACCGGTATATTTTTCCCTTGTAATTCTTGCAGTAACCTCTGTGATATAAGAAGTATTATCCTATGTTGCAATAGAAGAAACAGGGGCTCAGAGAAGTTTAGTCATTCACCTCAATCACACAGCTAGTCAGAATTTGTGCCTGGATTTGGAGTTTTCAGCCTCCAAAGTCTGTTCACACATTCTCCTTCACTGCCTCCTTGCAACACCAGTGGTAACTGTTTTCCTTCCACCTCGCTCCTTACTACTGGAGGAGTCCTCACTATTTAAATTCCGTGCTCAACAAGCCCCCAGTTGAATAAAGAGAACCACCACCAACCCTTATAGAAAACTCCTCAGTCTGCACGGCAGCTGCACCCCGTCGTTACCGTCCGGCTGCATTTGCAGATGAGGCTGGGGTGGGGTGGGGTGGGGTGGTGCTGTGACTGCCTAAGTTTCATGGCCACAAGTGGCAGGCCTGGGAGTCAAACCCAGGTCTCCCGATTCCTGTCCTGACTTCCACTCTCTGGTGAGCCACGTCTCCCCCTGCCGCGCCGTGTCCCTGATGGCTCCTCGTGGACATCACCCTCACCTGCTGCCTTGCAGTTCTTCCCTGGGGTGTGTGCTGTCTCCCTACAGTGAGGCAGATCCCCGGCTTTTTCACTCTTAACAAGGCTCGACTGGGGATGTGAAGCTGGCCATGGTCGAACAAGAGGCCTTCTTGATTAAATAGTAAATCAGGCCCTGTCTCTGCTGGCTCTGGTTTGGAATCACTCAGGGACACTGCCCATCCCCGCAGATGAACCCAAATGGCCCTCAACAGCCCCACAGCAGGGGGCAGGTAACCCGAGGGGAGGCCATGTCTGCTAGACCCCTGTAAAGCAGACAGTTCTTTTCTACCCTTCCTCCTGCTCACCCTCCAGCTCCCCTGCAGGTCCTCAGAGATCCATCTTTTCATTAGTTCTCATCAAATGCAGCGTATGGAGTGATTAGAGCTGGCTTTAATACACAGAGCGTGGTCCAGCCGCTGGTGCACACCTAGTGCACACTTACCTCTCATGAGGCCTCAGGAGTTGCAGTGATACCCACCCCCATCCCCCTGGCTCCTCCCCACTGTCTCCCTGGCAGCAGGGAGTGGGGCCCTTCTGACGAAGGCTGTGTTTTGGGTTCTCTCTCTTCCCCTGGATGCACGTGGTATTGGCTCGCCTTTCTCAGGGCTTCCTTCTCCATCCAGTTGCCCATTCTCCCCTGTAAAATGAATCAATGCCAGGTCCCTTTCAGACGCAGTAGGAACCAGCTGGCATGGGGCCACATCCAGGTGGCGCTGGACCAACCTCCGCGATAGCTGATGGATGGAGCTGCTCCCTGCCCTCCACCCCTCTGCTCACTGCACACAGATCTGGTTAACTCTTAACTGTCCACCAGCTGAAGGTGAACGGGCGCCTTGACCAAGAGGAGTTTTCAAGGCTGTGGATCCGCCTGGTCCACTGCCAGGTACCGGCATATTCTCTTCGGGCTAGCCTCCTATTCCATCTGTTTTAGCATATATTTACTGGGTGTCTGATCCTGCACCAGGGTTGGGGGGGATGAAAGATAAGGGAGCTCATCCCCGCCCTCAAGGAGAGCCCCATTTTTGCTTGGGGAGACGTACAAGCACCACTAGGTGGCACAAGGAAATACCTGGTCAAGTGGCCAGCTGGGGACTGCTCTAGGAGGCTGAAGAACTGGGTCCCCGTGGACTGCAGCTAAAACCGCTGGCTAGCGCTGCCCTCCTCATCCTTCCCCCAGCCACTGCAGCATCACCCGGGCCACCAGCCCTCTTCATTCCCTTCCCCTCCATCAGCCAGAAGACACATCAGAATCCCAGGGGTGGTCTGTGGCTTCAGCATGTCCTCACCATTGTTCTCAGGACAAAGTCAAAACTCATCAGAGATGCATGAGTTGGGACCCTACTTTGGGGACTAAGAGAAGCCGCTTCACTCATCCCACTCACTCCTTCAGGCCCCACCCATGAGACTCCTCGCCCTCCACTCCCTGCACCCTGAGCCTGGCTGGTACCCACCCAGCCCGAGAGTCTATCCCCCAAAGCTCCTTCCCTGTGGGGCCTTCCTTAGAGCCTTGCCCACCCCCACCCCAGACCCAATTAATTCCCCCTTGGCCCCTAACACTTGAGCCCACAACAATAAAATAAAAATATGTTATTTTATATATGATTTATATCACCTGATCCCCGACTGGGGTCATCTGGCTTCTCACCAGGCTGATGTGCCTCTCCCATTAGATCACCGTGCCCTCCAGAGCAGGGATTTCCTCATATGCATCCTTCTCCCCAGTGCCTTCCACAGGGTATAGCACACACCAGGCACTCAAAAATGACCGAACGAATGCATTACTGAATGAGTCAGTACCTAGTTGAGAAAACGCTCACCCAAAGCCAAAAGAGGCCAGGGAACGTTCTCAGCTATTTCACAGTAATTGTCTCCCGCAGGAGACCTCAGCTGCACGCCTGCTCAGGGGTATTTTGCTTTGAAACAGCTCCGGCAGGGAGGCTGAGCGTAGACCACAATTCAGAGTCCCGCATTGAGTCCTGTGGTGCTTGTCTGCTTAATCAAAGGGAAGTTACTCACCTGCCTGAGCATCTGTGTCCTTACCTGGGAAGCATAAGGATGCCAGGGGTAAGGGTAGAATTAGGGAGAGGCAGAAAGTCCCAGGCAAACGTAGAGCCGCCCTGGACCCAGCTGAGGTGTTGGAGTGACTTCATCCTGGGGCTGTACCTGGTCTGGGATGTGGTTCTCGCCTGCCTTCAGCGTTGCTACTCAGAGCGCTCCTAAGCACTTTATAAAGATGTGCTCACTTACTTCTTGCAACAAGCCTCTGAGGTAGGTACTGAAACTAGCCCTGTGCTACAGGTTGGGAAACTGAGGCCCAGAAAGATCAGGTAACTTGCCCAAGGGTACACAGCTGCCAAGTAGTTGAGCCGGGGTTCACACCCAGCGATTTGGTTGTGAAGCCTGTGCTCTTAACCCCCACCCTAGGTGAACTCTTTAGAGAGCTCTCCACCTCCCTGGAAAGTGGCAAGCTCCCTGTTGGGCAGGAGCCCAGTCTGAGGGGTGAGGAAGAGGAAGGAGGGCAGGTCGGGAGCAGGAGAAGTGCGGGCCTGGGAGAGGGACGGCAGCCACACACCGCCGCCCCCTCGCCCCCACAGCCAGGTGGTTGGCTTTATCAGGCAGAGCCCTTCCCCTGTCCTCAGCTGCTCACCGTGCCAGCCTCTGAGCTGGGCCTTCCCTACTGTTCTAGTGAATGGAAAAGGAATTTCGCAGGACCTCCCCCTACCAGACATCCTCTTCCAGGTGGCTTGGGACTCACACAGGCTTCCTACTTGTTTTTCCGTATCAGAGTGTTTTCCAGAACACCCAGAAGAACTCCAGAGTTTTCCTGAGCTCGGATTTGTGGAAGGCCATAAATGACACAGGTAAAGCAGAGGGCCCTTTGCAGTGAAGACTGGGGGCGGCAGCGGGGGGTGTGCAATGCCCACGCCCCTAGCATGCTGTAGGCAAGGCTGGGAGAGGGGCAGCTGTGTCCTCCCCTGGTTCACCCTGGCCTCTGTGGGCCTCCTGGCTCCGAACTCAGACTTCACCCTCCCCCGCCTGAGTTCTCCGATGCGGGTCAATTCTGCCGATTGCCTTTTCTCCCCAGCACAGCTCTAATTGTGCAAAAGTAACCCCTCACGGTTGATACCCTACCAGAAATCAAGCTCGCTTTGAAGACGCTTTCATCTCAGCGTCCGGGCCATCAGGGTTAAATACCCATGGGTGGGTTTGATATACTCTCTTCACCGAGGGTCTGGGCCTAAGTGAAATCGAATGGCATCTGTCGGCTTCAAGGAGGCAGTGCTTCAGTCCTGGGCTGACGATAATAACACTGGAGGGCGCGGAAGTTCAGCAGGAACTTGCACTCCCGTCACCTCGTTGGATTGTCTCAGCAGCTCTGGGACTGGGAAGGGCAGGAATCATTATCCCCACTGTACCAGCGGGGGAAGTGGATCACAGAAAGGTTAAGTCAGGAAATTGCCACCTTCCTGAATAAAATGGAAAATTTCGATGCTGGCGGGTTACCGCTGAAAGGGCAGCCTCCAGGGCTCCCAGGACTCCCAGTCTGCACAACGAATCAGAACCTGAGCTGCTGCTCCCCCGGCTTCAGCCTCGCTCCTTCCTTAATTCTTCATAGCAGAGGGCTGAGGTTCTCAAACCTGAGCGTCAGAACCCCCTGTAGGCTTGTCAAAGTGGGGATTGGTGAGCTGCCTCACCCAACCGGAGTACCTGATTCAGGAGGGCTGGGGTGGGGCTTAAGAATTTGCCTTTCTGACAAGTTTCCAAGTAAGCCCAGAGCTCCTGGTCTGGGGATCATACTTTGAGAGCCACTGAATAGCCAGCAAAAGATGAAATCTTTAAAGGAGGCTTCACTAATGACTCCAGAATAATAGCAGCGAGAAAGAGAACAGTTGGAATTCAACAGAAAAGCTGGGCGGGGCAAGGTGGGTGACTGAAAGGGGCAATGGAGCTCCTGTTAAAAAAAAAAGGGGGAAGGGGTGTGATTTGAGAATATGGCAAGCCCAAGAGGTAGGCCCTATCTAAAGGAATGCAAATTTCCATTTAAACTCTGCAGGAGAACCTAAACAGGTCTCTGGCTGTGTGGGGCCCTCAGGCCACCAGGCTTGTCCCCTCCATTAGGGGTTTGGTTTGCAAGGTTCTGCTAGCTCACCAGGGCGCGCAGGCCCTTATTCTGTCTGCCACTGTCAGCTCTGGGGTTGGTGCCTCCCTGAAACTCATAACTAGACATATAAGACAACAAGACCCAAAGAGGGCAAGGCACCTCTGCCTGCCTGCCTCTGGCCACCACCTGAGGTCTCTGCTCCCTGGACCGGTGACTTAGGACTGAATCCCTCCTCCAGGAGTCACACTTACCAAGCCCAGCAGCCGCTGTGCACGAGACCCACATGCAGTCTCGGCGTGGGGGAGGAAGCCTCCCTTAGACAAAGTCATCGGCAGAGAGAGGCCTGACAGGCAGGGCCGGAAGCAAACTTTGAGGTGTCTCGGTAGCTCCCATCCCACGTGAGAATTATCAGATGATTATGAAGGGTCTTGAGTGTCTTGAGTTGGCCTCTGACAAAACTCCAGAACAGTGTTGTGGGGGCCCAGCAGCCAACAAGCAAGAGGCAACCGGAGAATCATAAATACACGGCAGAGGAGTGGACCAGCCACCGAGTGGGCCGAGGAGGGAGGGCTGAGGTGGTGGAAGGCCACGAGGTCCCTGCATCCCGCTCCTGGCCTCCCGCGCGCTCACTGGCTCTCCCTGTGGCCCAGACTTCCTGGCAGGCGTCTCTGTCAGCAACGAGCTGCTGGGTCTAATGAGCCTCCGGTACAGCGACAGCTCCGGCAGGGTCAGCTTCCCCAGCCTGGTCTGCCTCCTGATGCGCCTTGAAGCCATGACAAGTAAGTGTCACCTGGGGGCAACTTCCCTGTGACCAGAGAACACAGGAGGGGCCCAGGGATACACTCAGCCCCAGGCCTGGACAAGTCCTTCGTAGTGGGGAGGGCTGGAGTCCTGCTAGGAGCCCTTGCCCAGGGGACAGAGCCAGCGTTGGCCTATGTGAGGGTGTAGTTGGCTTGTGTCCCCAACCACTCTCTGTACCCTTCTCGCTCCAGGACATCCCCCCATCCCAGGCCTTTGATCACCTTACTCAGCACCTTTTTCAGGAACTAATCACCGTGTCCCCTCTCCAGATTGGGTTATGGTTTAAACCTCCTCTTCAGTCATGCAAGGAATGATTTGGTCTGTGCTGAAGGATTGCACACACAAGCGAGCTGGTCAGGGCAGGAGGTTCCCCCACTGTCCGCGCCATGTGACATCACTCAAAAAACCCCCTAGCTCGGAGCAAGGCAATTAATCAGATGGGAAGACCTGAGCCCTGGGAGGGTAAAAGAAAAGCCAGAGACATAACCTTTGCTCCAGAGAATTCTCAGTTGGACAAGGGAGGTGCCCCTGAAATACTTCCTAAGACAAGCCCTGACATCCCCACGGCCAAGTGTAGGGGGTACAAAGTGCAAGGAAACTGGAAAGGGGAGGGTCGTGTGGGACCGAGCCATCAGAGAGAGCTGTTTCAAGAGGTGAGCCCTGAGCTGTCCCTCAGCTGTAGAGTTTGGCTGGAAAGAGAAGAGGAGGGGAGACGGAGCTCCCCTGGGGCTTTTCACAGAATCACCACATTGCCTTGAATGTCACGTGCCCCCAGGCCTGTCCTGATTCCTCTCTTCCTCTTTACCCCAGAGGCTTTCCATAACCTCTCCAAGGATGGAAGAGGAGTCTACCTGACAAAAATGGAGGTGAGGTACCTTCCCCTTCCAGAGACAGGGCACAACCCCAGCCCACCCCTCTCACCTGATTCTAGGGGGCATTGCTCTCCCGGAGGCTACTCAGCAGTCTGTCAAAGGCCAGCCAAGCTGCCGGCCCCTCCTGCCTCCAATTACTGCCTTTATATATTGCTGGCTGCCAAGGCTGCTTTAGGATCTTGGCAGACAGATTTTATTTTTTTCCAATAGCTTAATAAAGCAGAGGATTATGTGGGAGTCATAAATCCAAGAGGGAACTAAGGAACACCTACTGAGCTCACTGTACATTAAACTTACTCCCAGTGAGTGTTTGAAAGAGCGTCCTGGCCCAGCCAGCTGGTCGACCTCAGCTGTCCCTCTCAGCACCTGCACTACTGAGGGATTAGCAGAAGCTGCACTGCAACGGAGGGCTGAGGCCTCCTGCTTGGGTTGGAATTAGCTGGAAAGGGTTGATGAGATTAGACTGAGGTCTTTCAAATAAAGAGGGTACCATTTACCCTCCTCTGTATTAAGCTAACAAGTTTAAAGACTGGTTGTAACAATGATGCTCATTTCTCAGTGGATGAACCTGGTGATGTACAACTGAAGCAAGCGGCAGAACAGACCCCAGAGCCCAGGTAAGACATGGAAGCTTTTGAATCATTTCCTCCTAGGAAATTCCCCTTCTCCTCCAGGAGCTGCACGGGGGACTTTCTCCCTGGGAGCAGACCCCGCCACCACTGAGACTACAGAGCCCTTGTGTGTGTGAGCCACGGCTCAGCCCCTTGTCCCTTGAGTTTCAAGACCAATGCTGCAGATTTCATCCCAGTCATGCAGACCAGTGGGCATTCATGAAAGAGTGTGTCCTGGAAGTTACAAGTGAGGGATTTAGAATTCTTTTTTTAAATTAATTAACTTTTATTGAGATGTAATTGACATTTAACATTGTATTCATTTTAAGCATACAACAAAATGACTTGAAATAGGTACATATTGTGAAATGATTACTGTGGTAAGTGGGGTTAACATCTATCACCTTACGTAGTTATTTTTTCTTCTTATGATAAGAACTTTTACAGGTTACTTTTAGCAACTTTCAAATATACAACACAGTACCACTAACTATATTCACCATGCTGTACATTACATCCCCAAAACTTATAACTGGAAGTTTGAACCTTTTGATCACCTTCACACATTTTGGCCAACCTCTTACCCCCAACTTGTGGCAACCACTAGTCTGATCTCTGTATCTATGAGTTTGGTTTGGGTTTTTTGTTGTTGCTATTCTTTAGATTCCACATATAAGTGAAATCATACAGTATTTGTCCCTCTCTGACTTACTGCACTGCATAATGCCCTTCATGCATGTTGTCACTAATGACAGGACTTTCTCCTTTTTTATGGCTGAATAATATTCTATTGTATATACATATAACCACAATTTCTTTATCCATTCATCCTTTGAGGGACACTTAGGTTGTTCTATGCCTTGGCTATTACAAATAATGCCACAATGAACATGAGGGTGCCTATATCTTTTTGAGTTAATGTTTTAGTTTTCTTTGAATAAATACCCAGAAGTAGAATTGTTGGATCATAACAGTAGTTCTATTATTAATTTTTTTTCAGTTCAGTGACTGTTTATTGAATAGCTCCTATATGGGAGGCTCTGTGCTAGGCTCCAGGGGCACAAAGATAAATAGAATCCACATGATTTCTGACCTCTGTTGCTCACTACCTAGTGGGAGAGAGAGTCCTATAAACAGGAAACTATACTCTAATATACAAGAAGCAGTGACAGAGGCTTGGGTGTTATATGGACATGAAGAGAGGGTGCTTCATATGGGTTCAGCTTTGGACGTGGTGATGTGCTTGTGGGACACCCGTATGGAGATCTCCCATGGACAGATGGATATATAGGTCTTTAGGGAAGTCAAACTCAGTCCTTACATTACAGGGTCTTGCTATGGAGTAAAAGAGACAGAAATGTAAATGTAATGAATCAGTTACAATAGTCTAGTGAAGGCTAACACAGAGGTTCACACAAAGATGATGGTACAACTGCCTTGGCCTAGAAGATGTGATGTCTCTCTAGGAGACTGTCTGGGAGCTGAGTCTTGAATGATTCAGAGTAGTTATCACCTGTTGTGGGCTGTCGATGAGGTCATCGTAAACATGGAATACTTTGGGTGGACTCAGCGAGGCTGCAAGCCAGAAAGACATCACCAGCTGAGCAGCCAGTGGGCGCTGTGCAGGCAGCTGGTCACTGAAGGCCCTCCTCTGAGGCCAAGATGCACAGCTCAGTCTTCCTTGACACCAGTGAAAGGTAGCATGCTGTGCCCATTCAAGTGGTTGGGCGTGTCCTGCGGTCCTACGTGTTGGTTCAGTTTCTTATACAGTGCAGGCACACAGAGCCTAGTATTAATTTTTCAAGGAAGTTCCGTACAATTTTCCATGGTGGCTGCATCAATTTACATTCCCACCAACAGAGTATAAGAATTCCCACATCCTCAAAATAACATTTGTTATTTGTGGAGTTTTTAATGACAGCCATTCTGACAGGTGTGAGGTGATACCTCATTGTGGCTTTGATTTGCATTTCTCTAATAATTAACAATGTTGAGCATCTTTTCGTGTGCCTATTAGCCATCTGTATGTCTTGTTTGGAAAGATGTCCATTCAAACCTTCTATACTTTTTTTTTCAATTGGACTGTTGTTTTTTATATTGAGTTATGTGAACAGTTTGTATAGTTTGGATATTAATCCCTTGTCAATTACACCATTTACAAACATTTTCTCTCATTTTGCATGTTGTCTTTTAAGTTTCTTGATGATACCATTTTCAGAATATGAGTTTTTAATTTTGATGAAGTTCAACTTACCTCTTTTTTCTTTTGTCACTTACACTTTTGGTGTGGTATCTAATCATTGCCTAACCCAAGATCATGAATATTTACTCCAAAGTTTTTCTCTGAAGAGTTTTATAGTTTAGCTCTCACATTGATGTGTTTGGTCCATTTTGAGGTAGTTTTTGTGTATGGTGTGTTGTAGGAGGTCCAACTTCATTCTTTTGCCTGTGTGTATCCCATTGTCCCGGCACTGTTTATTGAAGAGACTGTTATATGCCTCATTTTATTGTCTTGGCATCCTTTCCAAAAATCAGTTTATCATAATGTAAGGATTTATGCCTGAACTTTAAATTCTGTTCCATGGATCTGTATGTCTGTCCTTATGCCAGTACTGCACTGTGTTAAATACTGTAGTTTTGTAGGAAGTTTTGAAATCAGGAAGTGTGGGTCTTCCAACTTGGTTTTCTTTTTCAAGAGTGTTTTGGTGATTCTGAGTTCTTTGCATTTACATATGAATTCTAGGATCATCTTAACAAATTCTGCAGAAAATAAAGGCAGCTGGGATTTTGATGGCAATCACATAAACCTATAGATCAGTTTAGGGAATATTGCCAATGTCACAATAGAATGTTTTCTGATCCATGAACATGAGATGTCCCTCCGTTATTTTTAGATCTTTAATTTCTTTCAACATTGTTTTGTGGTTTTTCAGTATAGAAGTCCTGCACTTCCTTTGTTAAATTTATTCTTACACATTTTATTCTATTTGAGGCTATTATACACAGTTTTATTTTCTGATTGTTCATTGCTCATGTATAGAAGTAAAATTGACTGTTATATCTTGAGCTTATATTCTGCCACCTTGCTGAACTCCTTTCTTGATTCTAATAGCTTTTTAGATGATTTCTTATTTATACACACACACACACACACACATGCATATATACATACACATAATCACGTCATCTACAAATGAAGATAGTTTTGTTTCCTTCATTCCAATCTGGATGCCTTTTGTTTGTTTTTCTTGCCTAATTGTCCTGGCTGGAACTTCTAATACAATGCTGGGTAGAGGCTGAGAAAGCAGACAGTCTTGTGTTCTTGATCTTGGGAGAAAATACACATATTTCACCAATAAGTATAAAGTCAGCTGTGGGGTTTTTGTAGATACCATTTGTCAGGTTGAGAAAGTTCCCCTCCACTGGTAGTTTGCTGAGTCAACACGCTTTCAGCTACTTGCTTGATGTCTGTATTCCCTTGTACACTGTCAGCCTAGGTATGTCTTATTTGTTGCTATCTCCTTAGCATGTAGAGAAACCACTCAGTAATGATTTCCCAAATGACTGAAAGAAATTGTCCTTTCCGGTTTGTGTCTTCCTTTGTCTTGTTCTCATCCCAACTTTCGTAAATATTGTCTTAAACCCACGTCTTCGTGCTGTTTTAGCTATTTCTACCTTCTATCACATTGGGATTGGTGGGCAGCAGGTTGTTAACATTATCTTGTTACAATATCTCTGATACGTCATGGTCTGTATCCTTTTATAAAGGCTACCGTCTGACCTGTTAATCCTCTCATCCTTTTGAAATTGGCTTTCCTGAGTCCTGGGCATATTTCAACCCTGCCCAATATCCCCTGACTTCGATACTACAAAGTCAAAGTGATTTCCTTGTAAGATTTCCATCCCTCCCAGGTTCCCTGTTGGCCAGCATTCAGTCCAAAGGGCAGTCCCTCTCCTTGCTCGTTTGGTCCTCTATGCAAGGAAGTGGTCACTGAAACAACGGAAGGCCTTGTCAGATGACCTAAGTAGACTTCTTCCAGAGACTGGGGGGTCACTGAAGCCCCTCGCCAGTCTCCTTTCATGCTGGACCGCTCCCTGTAGACTGTGTACAAGAAGCTTCTACCTGCCCTTGGATCCGCCAGGCAAGCTGGGGTGCACTCCCATTGGGAGAACACTTCCGTTCCTCTCTCTCTCTCATCTTTCAACCCATCTGCTCTCCTCTAACTTAGTAAATTGGGATACCAAAATGTGCAACCAGACACATCCTCTTCCCCCACCCCCAGCATATCTGTTTCTTTTGAACAGAGCATGTGCCTCCATGGTCATACAAGGGGCGTGTTTTATGTTAAAATTGTTATAAGACAGTCAAGCTCTTACTTTAAAGAATGCTAATACCCAGTGCTTTGGTATACGGTCCTTGGGCATTTGAGGCTATGTTGAGTGCACCTGATTTAGAGTCTGAAAGTTCAGTACACGGCAAGTCTGCTGAGAGTTTATCTAGCTAATGTCATCTGCATTCACGCTGATGAACTGTCTATATGGCAGTAAAGTGCCTTGTTCTAACAAAGTCAGCATTGATAACAGTTTCCCACCACACAGAAATAAAGCGTCTTGAGGAATGGGCCCCCTCCTCCTACTCTGCATCCAGGTGAAATATAAACAGCAGTGGCCCTGGTCCTGATTTACCAACGGCAGTTTTCACAAGAGAGGGTCTCCTTCTCTCCTAATAAATCCATCTCTCCATCCTTCAGACCAAAGAAATTCTTTTTGACAGCTGAGAAGTCTGGATTTGCCTGGATATTTGTCTGG